AAGAAGTAATGGCAGTGTTCACAACACCATCCATAAAAGCTCAGTTAACTGAGACCACAACAACCCATGGGAATCAGAAACCAGCCAAATTGTACACAGCCCATTACAAAGTCCAGAGCAGAGTGACTACTAAGGCACACAACAGAGCTCAAGAATAAAACAGAAGTGGGGGGGGGGACAAACAAGTGTTCAGCTAACGACATCCCATACTAGAGGCGCACAAGCAAAATCTGAAGACTTTCAATTAAAGAGATCCTCCAACCCATGGCTTTTCCACGGCAACTTTGGTACAAATACCAGGGCATTTCCACTGACTGCCTAGAATCTGGAAAACCTCCCGATACAGGTGCTGGTCTGATCACACTGTACTCACTGCTTGCCGTGTACTTTGGCTCCAGCTCGTCTATGTAGGATCTGTTCCGCTGCAGTTCTGTATCTGTCTCCCGTAACTTCTCCCTGAAAAAGAAACCACCAAAATATGGTTTATGCAGGATACAAGCACACATGAATGTGATTTGTCCTGGTGATTCTGATTGATTAGACAAGATACAATCTGAGTGAAAGTACCTCCCTCAACAAAGAAAGTGACATTAAGCCCACACTTGAATGTTACTTTTATCATGTGCCTGGTGCCTAAAAAATCTGCAACATGGTTGTGTAAATTCAGATGAAAATTAGTCATGTGCTCCATCTGGTTCATTAAAGCATCGCACAGGCACAAGTTCTTCGGATTACGAATGCCCATTGGCTAACACGCAAACTCTGTACCACTAATGGTTCCAATAATTCCTGGGCCACTCTGTGAACAAGGGCATGGCTCACGTTGCAATGATGTCATGCCAACAAATGGGATACAGTGTGCAATGGAACCAGTGTGCAATGGAACCAGTGTGCAATGGAACCAGTGTGCAATGGAACCAGTGTGCAATGGAACCAGAACAAGCATATGACGGAAAAGTATCAAATGCAATATATAATGATACACTCCGCGCAACAGTGAAACAATAGTAAATTCAACATATGTCAACAATCAGTTTTATGCACTGCCATGGATTCACTTTACTTCAAAACTAAAACTTGAAACGAGATTAATGCTTTGAAAATTTAACTGTGTCATGTATAATTCATTTCCAAAGTTCCATGCAATAAAACCTTGCCAGGAAAAATTAAGAAACTCTAAATGCATTTTTAAAACAGCTGTGAGAAAAGCTAACATATGGATTCTGAGGATGACAAAAGGAAACTTCAGAAACTTACTTGTGCTCACTTAGTTTCAGTCGTAGATCTTGATTCTGAATGACAGGAAAAAACAAACAATAATTATTCAACTACACAGGTGGCCCAAGACTTATTCCATTTCAGGATTATTCTGAATCCATGCTTAAAAAATAATCCCTAGTGCTTTTGGTTGTTTTGTGATCAACTGCATCTTGAACTTCAGGGTTAAAATTCTGTACTCTTTCCCAAAAGTAAGCACGCTAGAAAAAAATTAATAAAACCCAAAAAAATAGATGGAAAATAAAATTATTCATCTTCGTGGCCCTTCTTTTATGCCAAGTTCAAGTTTGATAATATACCTCAATATTCCAATAGAGAAAGAGAAAATTAATGATGGACTGAGGAACTGTACCAGATAATGATGTCAACCTTTTCCCAGGATTATAAACATGGTTTAAACCACTCTGGCCAATATATGGTGTATAATACTGATAAAAGTTGGCATTAAAGATGTCGTTCTAATCAACACCCCATGAGCAGTAACTAAACGGGGACCCAATAATTATAAACATGACAGAAAGAACAATGTATAAGAATGGTTTCGGTCATTTCTGGCTCTACAATGAAGACAATTCAAACAGATTTGATTAGTATGGTACTCACAAACTGGTTATTTTCATCCATGCATTCCAGTTGGGTTATCGTTAGATACCAGGTACAGAGAAAAGATAATGAATGGCATTAGTAAGCATGCCGATTTCATACTTAGGGAGCAAAACGAAAAAGAAAGCACTGAACAAACAAACAAACAGATGAACCAATCAACAAACAGACTAACTCAAATAGAGTAATGAGTGAATTGATGAACTAATAGATAACTTGAGTGATCAGTCAAATGACCAATGTAGATATTTCCAATAAATGGTGTTTGCGAACCAAGCAGCAATTACATGTACTTAGCTCACTGCATATTTTGCAATGGACCATTTACAGGCACTGACTGAATAAAATGATGCAATCTGTTCCTGACCAGGAACATGTCAATGTAATTTCATCAAGTAAACAGCTAACCAGCCAACAAAACAATAACAAACACAACCAGCAAACTGCACAAACAGAAAAACTGAATTCATAATGCTCAAATCGTAAAGATAACACGAGCAAATTGACTTTCAACACTGAGGACGGAAATGAGGGGATAAGACAACTGAACAAGTTGAAAAAATTAAAACTTACTGTACGCGAAAAAACACAGGACCAAGTACATGTACACATGCTAGAGATCTCACGCTAGAGAATGTCTAGACCTTGTCTTTACTTATCAGTTAATATGCACAGCTAGAAAAGCACATGCAATATTCAATTGAAGAAAGGACCTTCTAAAATCTACAATGAAGTTATTTAAATCAACAATAATCAATCAAATCAATGTCAGAAACAGACAAGAACAAAACCAAAAAGGACATGCTGTCCTTCATTCTTTTAAAACGAGAACAACAAAATAACCAGACATGACTTAGATTGGAAAAATAATCGATTATTACAAGCATTATTGCTGAGAAACTTTGCATGCTGACACAAAATTAGTGCACGACTCATGACACTCTGCCAAGCATGTCACTGATTAAAGCTCGATCGTGGTTGACGGATTTACCTCATTGCTTTTTTTCTGAGCAGACTAGACACCATAAATGGAGGAACAAGGACAGTACAAAGAATGAACAGTTAGGAATTAGAAGAACAGCGCAGTTAAAACAACCAAAGCTCCCTTGAAAAGACAACAAAGTCAATAACGTCACAGCTTCTGCAACCCTGAGAATTTCCCCAGGTTGACTCGTGTTGAAGTAAACTGAACTTGAAATTCAAACTGACGAGATGTGTTACCCTACGGAGTCAATTCGTGCAAAGCCCAAGCAAGTGTCGAGTTTAACAGTTTTGAGCGGTCAACGTACTTCTCCTGTACACTGTCCACCAGTGCTTCTTGGTCCTAGCTGGGTTTATCTTTTTTAATACATGAAAGTGTAATCAACTTAAGCTTGCAAATTTATGTTTTGCAGGAAAACCAGAAGTTGTTTACATGAAAACTACAATGCAAGAGGAATTCAAAGGATGCCTGCTCATAAATTTCTATACGCTGACTGGACAGCACATGGAGACACGAGTCATGGTGGGTAGTTGTATCTTGACTTTTATCGGTCGTCTCATTTTTACACCAGGCAACGTTTATTTTGTGCAATGAGAGTGGCGCGCATCAGTTCAGTCACTAGAGACCACTGGGATGCCTGAAATGGCCTGAAGTGTGTAGGAAACAGACTCTAAGAATAATTCAAAGATGACCCAGGGAATGCTGGCATGCAGGGGAAAGCAAATCCGCCGGCGAGGAAACAAGAAAAGCGAGGACTTACCTCCCCGACTACCGATGAAGACACACCCTCCTCCCTCTGCTGTAGTTTCAACTCCTCTACCTCCGCCTCGAGAGACAAGATTCGCTGATTGGCAATCCTGAAATTAGCGAGCATCGGTGATGTAAATGACGGAGAAAAACTACATGACGAAAAATGATTGCTACTTTTGTGACAGACCGTTAGAATGAGGGCAAGCTAGCTGTCTAGAATCTACCTTTTCTTCTAAAGAAGAAAGATGAGTTATCTGAGGGATTTTCCTCACTTTCAACCTTCACAACCAGGTCTGAATCCCAGTGAGGCCAAAATGTGGATTGATTATTCTGTCCAATTTCTGAAATTTCGTTCATCTCTAAAATGGACCATTTCCTGGTTTTCCATCTGTAAAGTTTCATTATGTTTCAGAACCAATGTGGCTGGGCTTATTGGGGAAAAAAGAACAAAGAAGTAATTGCAATCAATCTTTGGACTTGCATCAAACACCTGCGGTAGGTGAGGATACCTGCAATCGTCCAATACTAACAGCATATTTTTAGGACAGCCTTTAACCCTCCTATGCTGAAGTCACTCTTTGGGTCACTTGGTGAACACCTCAAAGAAGCACAGCTGTGTTGTGTTGTGCACTGCACCAACAGTCCCTCACAGGAATATCAGATTGCACTTTTGTGCTGCCCAACAACTGTGCTTCACTGTTTCATGTGCGCCATTGTGCAGTAAACCAAATGCAGCGAAGAGGACTGCACAAAAGACCCTGGGTCATTTTGTGCTGGCGATCTACTGTGTACACACTGAACCCGTGCATGTTTGAGTTCCATATAGAAAATACATGCTCACCAGTGACTGTGGGCATTTGTGCACATTTGTGCTGTAAAACCAAAGGAGGGTTAATTCAGTGAATGATGTGCCCCGTGGAATGGTACAATCAAGAACACACCTGTTTTCTGATTCCAATTCGTTCTTCCTTGCGTCAGCATCGTCAAGAAGGCTCTGTAGCAACTGTGTCTTCTCGTCTGTCGTCTCGCCCTGTTTCAGTTTCAACATCTTGTTTTCGTGCTGGAGACGGATAATCTTCTCCCTGGTTGAAGAAAAGAGAAATAGGAGGATTCTCATTTTTGGATTTACAAACTTTTATCTCCTGTCATAATCTCACAAGAGAAAGTAGATACAAAATGTAAAATACTTTAATTAACTACGGTTTCAATTCAGCGGAAACTCTGAATTGTAGCTGTTGCCTGTTTGGCTGACTTCAAAGAACCAGTGAAGGACACAATGCATACACACATATGCTTTTGGCATGGAACTCGTTTTCGATTGAATGTGCACCAAACCAATTTGAAAAGTGTCTGCCTTACAGGAATACCCCTCAGCAAACAGCGAACAATGGCAAAGGGGCTCATGTCGTTCTCTGGCTCTGTACACATCAAAGTTGTTGTCAAGTCCATCGCAAGTCCCGTCATAAGTAACGGAGTGAGCAAGGACAAAGTAATGCATGTCACAGGTAACTTGGCTTATCAATGAATACACTTGCAGGGACTCGCGGCAGACTTCATTACAACAATGGTTCACAAGTACACGAATCCCGAATCATTATAGGCCAAGCACTTCTCTGGAAAATAACGGGGTTTCTATACATTACATGTACATGGCAAGTGGTCGAGTGTACACTGCACCAAAAGCGCAAGAACAAATGTGGATGGATGACCTGCACCCTCATGACCAATGCTGCACCTTGCACGCTTTTGCCCCTCGTTTCTGCATTCCACTGACCTAATTTCTGACGGCATCATGTCAGCGAAACTGGCCGACAGTGGGCTACCAGGACTGCCGGGCGACATGCCCATATTGACGTTCCCAGCCAGCTGGTTGCACGTCAACTCCTCATTGGTTTCTCTGAGGGAATCTCGCTCCATCCTCAGCCGCTGTGAGGGTAAAATACATCCACAGGTCACAACAATTTTATTCTTTAACTCTACTTCCTCAATCCAAATCCTGTTCAGTACAGGAAACTGGTGGCAGAAGTTGAAGTGAACATTCTGGCAAGTTTTAAATTCCCTTTGGGCCTAACAGCCTCCAAGTCACAACTGGGTCCGCAACATCCCTTGGCAAGACTGTAAAAACCTACGAATTTACAGTTCATGCTGTTATTTCTGTCTACCCATGTAGCAAGATTCAAAAAGGGTAAACCTTGTTGCTTTGGGCAGGGTTAGCATTAAGGACTTTGAAGCACTAAACAATTGAGACACTTTATTCAGACGCAACTCTAACAAGTACTAACATAAACTAGCAATCACTTGTCCTCCTTCGCACATCCAATACATACTTCAATTTCTGCCTGGCACTGTAACACCTTCTCCGAGTGCCGTTGAAGCTCAAAGTCTGCCCTGTCCGCGCGCCTGGTCTCCTCCGAGACCTTTGCATGTAGCTCATGCACCTGCCGCTTGTAATTCTCAAGCTGAGACTTAAGCGCACTGGCTTTCTTCAGCTCCTGGAGAAGGAAACGAGACATCGAACGGTGTAATGAGATAACAAAGTTTGTGACCGATGGACTTTGAAACATGACGAAATAAGACAACCAGCACTTTTGCCACAGACAACTTCGTCCCTACAGTGCTGAGAAATTCACCGCCACTATGGGCTCTTTCATTCTAAAACTTGATCATTTGCATATCTTGCATGCATCTGAAATCTCGGATGAATCTAAGTGAGGGATAGACTGTTTTTACAGCACTACAAGTTAGTGCTTCTTTTTTTTTTTCAGTTGTGTCTAGGATGCCAGACTGATATTCCTCCTAATGACATGGGATCAAAGAATGACTGACTTTTCAGAGTTGAAATGTAATAATTTTAGGCCAGGTCCAAAACAGGCTTCTAGGGCTATGGTCCAAGTTGCATCAATTCACTGCAAATAACAAAATGAAACGTACAGCATGGTTGTGGGGAGGACTAGGTTCTGCAATTGGCCTTATTGACAGGGAAGCCATATTTTATTGTTTCCAGAATGTTATCTGCAAAATGGAATGGAGCCAGACTATTTGGGGTTTCATGTCCTACTTTCATTTCTTTTATATATGGCTTAAAACATTTAGGACTAAATGATCGAAAGTCCAAATTCTTCATCAGCATAAACGACACTTATTTGTAATAAAGTTTTATTTCATTACTTTCGTGTTTTTTTTCTCAGGTGCTAAAATAATTTAAAAACTTTACCTAACTTTCAATTTAATATGGCTAACTTGTAAAGTAAGGGCGATTGAAAATGACTGTCAAAACAAGATGGCTACCAGATCATCAAGGTCTGATTCCCTACCTCCTCAAGCTCCATGGAGTTCTCCATGTACATGGTGTTTTTATCTTCAAGGAGTTTAACCTGTCTTTTCAGGTCACTAAGGTCCTCTAGCTTTTTCTTGTATGTTTCTATCGTGGACTCGTATTTGGCCACCTTATCTGAAGTGTGTCTTAATTCGTCCATCTCGTCCTTGAGGGCTCTGGCCTCTTCGGCAAGGCTGGTGAGTTTTTCATTCTAAGGAAAAATGGAATAACAGGAAAAAAGTGCCACAACTCCACACCAACATCACAGAGGTGATTTATAAACCCAACCCCCCCCCCAAATGTCAATTAATAGTCTTCTCCTTAACTACTACATGATACAAAAAAGTGAAGCAAACACAGCACCAAAGATGTTGGAAAGCTTGACTTTGAAATACCATGCCGATCTGGTTTCAAGTTGGCCGATGCCTTTCCGCAAAAAAAACAATGCAACTTAAATAATGTTGTAAACAAGGTTTCTGATATTTTTTTATGTTGACTTAGGCCTCCTTTTCAGTTTGCTGCGCAAATTTACTACCCAAACTTCAACCTGAGCTTTGTTATTATGGTTACAGAGGCAAGTCCACACAATTGGGTGGGGGGAGGGACGGGGATGCAGGTGAAGAAAAGACAGAACTATCGGGGTGTCCTACTTTCTGAGATATTTCAACCACTTCTCGCTCCAACATGTCCATCCTTATCTGCATGTCATCGCGGAGGTTTTCCAGACGGAAATTCTCCTCCTGCAGTTCTTCCACCGTCTGCTGCAGATGCTGGTGCCTTCTTCCAGCAGGGGTACTGCGGATAAAAATCACCAATTAAGCTCGCAAAGGGTTTCCACAGCATGAGATAAATGCAAGGTTCTGTAGAGAGGCAATGCAAAGTTTATTTTTTAATCATGCTGAAGTCCGCATGCTGTACAAGTAAAACTGGGAAAGCCCAACCTGGAAATGAAGCAAACGCTTTCATGTAAATAATAACACTAGGGTGTACAAAATGCCAATTTATAAACATTGTCACTAAGGTATCCATAATAGTTTCCTCAAAGCCAGAAGATAAAGAACGAAAGGCAGAACAGAAACTCCTGACTTCATGCACAACTTACTTTGTTTTGGGGGTAGGGAGAAAAAAGCAAGTCTCCCCATGTTCAGTTTCGTGAACATGTTGGCCTGCGTTTCACAATACTCCAGCAACTCAACATGCATCTTTCCTCACGATGCTGCATCAGACAATATTTCTGCACTACGTAATGACTTGACGAATTGACAAAGCTACTAACTTCTATTCTCCATTTTATATCTGCCACGTGCATGAGTCAACACAAGTTTTCAAAAAAGAAATTTTGCACACAAATTAAAACTTTGTAAGTAAACCAAACACAGTACTACCAAATAGTTGAACAAAAACTCCAATCTTAAAGCAGGCTTTAAGGGGTTCCATGATACAGAAAAGAAAATTTATATAAGAGAATTTACATGTACCACCAACTTTTCAAGTGCTCTTCGTACGGAATGCGACAAACATAAATAGGGGCATTTAAGGTCTCTGGGCAACTTTCAGCATCAATGGCATCATTCTCAGACTCAACCTTTAAAACTTTGATCGTGGACGCGCAAAGCACTGTCCACACATTACTTTGGATGCACAATGAGTTAATTTCAAAGCTGATCAAAATTTGGAAGCTTTAAATATTTTGAGGCACTTGACCAAGCAATGCCAAGGGTCAATTTGTTCATCCAACAAGTTTGCCGACCTCTGCCCGACAACGTGTCTGACAGCAAGAGAGCATATTGCCTATCATGACCACGTGGAGTGTGGATGTACTTTAAGACTAACATGTGACTTGTGGTGAAGATGAAAAAAACTAACACACTAAGAATGGCTCGAGTAAGCCACACGGTAAATGAAATTAACCAACATTAAGTGAGAATACCTGTGAAGCTGAGCAATGATTTGGTCAATGCATTCAGTCTTATGGACATTTCGGCGTGCATGGTAAGCAACGCCGGGTTGGGATGTGTCTACCTCCACAACAGCCGCCAAGTAAACAGCGAATTCAATACTTGAGCCCTGCCGCAATGCAATGATGCTAAAATTCTCACCGTGTGCATTCTATGGTTAGCAGGACTGTGCAATATGCAAATTATAATTAGGATATATACAAACTAGACTAAACCTTGCACACACAAGCAAACAAACAAACAAACAAACAAAACTGGTTCAACTACAGAAACCCAACAGGAAAATACTTGAATATACACGTATATGCAAAAAAAACCTGTATACATCAACGTAAGTCCAAACGTTAATTCATTTTACCTTGTGTTCTTCTCACTAATTTAATTGAGAATGTAAAGAAATTTCCAAATTAAGCTTTTGAAAATCCAAACGGCATGTACATATGAGACGGATGTGACCAAAATGTATAACGCAAATGTACATACATTGTCAGGGGAAACTTCCTGGATCTGAAAAAAAAGGCCGTGAAAAAATTCAATGGCGCATTTAAACTGTACGTTTGGTTACTTGGAACGGGGCCTTGGCTATGTAGTCTAAACCCATATCTCTCAAAATTTCACTGCAAACCTGCTGAGAATGATGGATTTTGAAGGGTTTGCAATAACAGGTGTCAAAATGAAAGTTGGTCACAGAAATACCAGTATCTTGCTCATAAGTGAGGAGTTCAATATAATTTGACAATCTAACTTAGGCTGTGCTCAATATCCAAATATTTGATAATTATCATAATGCATAAATATTCATGATGTTTGCACCCTTAATCACATATAATTATAAATACTCATTTCAACCCCTAACCTCTCTGACATTCAGGTTCTGAAACATGACTCTATCACACCTAGGTGTACTGTACATGTACATTGTTCTGGGTTGGGATTCTTAAATACTCAATCTGAAGAGAGCAGTGACAAATCAATTAGTTCCCACAAACGTTACCATCCCTCGATCAGGTAGATTTTCCTAAACAAGCCCCTCGAATCCTCCAAAATCTGTCAAAATGCATGAAACCAGTGGCAAATTCTGTACACACAGTACAAACTTGAGTGGAGTCACTGCCATGAAAAATGTATCAGTGGCAGGGCTCTTTTCCTTATTCCTACGAAATCCCAGAACAAAATGACCTGTGATGATTATTGAAGATGTTGGAGGATGAGGGTTAAAGGATGCAGAGAGTGGCAGGCACAAAATCCCAACCACCAAGCCAAAGAAACTTCTTGATAATCTGGCTAGTCAATCAGCAGATGCAATGAGCAGGCACTGGGGGTTCATGAATAATTCATCACTCATGTGAGTAACAAGGTGTAGAAAGTGTAGGATTACCCTTCCAATCCCAGCCACCGAGACTAAATCATTGCCTGCACAGTCCAAGCGTGCACTGGGCATGCACTGTGTCCTTCATGTATAATTCATGACATGCATTATGCATCATAATAATCTGCCACTGACTTGCATATTAAAGGTACCTTTTGGGTTCTGTTGGCATGGCAACCTTTTTGCTTCAGAGAAGAAATGCATAAATTGCATGTTAGTTATTTCTGCACCAAAAAGATATTAGTTTTTCTCTTTGCGGTTATTTGATTAAAGAGAACAAAAATTAAAAAGCAGACTTCAAAGTAAACATTGAAAAGTGTCCATCGGAATAAATCCCAGACACAAAAATATTACCAAAAAAAATGATAGGGCTTCAAGTTGTAAAAATAATAGGAAAGGTCCTTGTGTAAATGAACAGACATCCTTCACGATTCAACAGTTCCCCTACTTGACAATAGGACAATGTAGACTCTTTGCTCGACTAACCTCTATTTCTGCCGAAAAAGACATCAGCATGGGCAGCACATGTATTCCAATGCTGCTTGGGGCGTGACACTTGCCAACCAAGTGGTTTGTGCACATTCACATGAAAATTCCACATACGTGTGGAATACCTGTGCAAAGTCTCCACGATCTAAGCAAAGAGGCTTGCATAACGCTGCTTTTGTAATCTGATTCAACGGATGCTCTATCTGCGTGCATCATACAGGGGGTTTCGAGGCCAGTCAAACTTACCTTGGGTCATCCACACTGTCTCCTTGGTCCAGTCTCTCGTGCAGCTGTTCATTTTCTCCATGCAGAGTGTTTCGCTCTTCTGTCAGAGAGGCAACCTGTAAGACAGAGGACCAAGTGGGCAAATGGATTGGTGTGGATGTACAACACAAAATTCCCGAACAGGGTTGATCGTTGATTAATCTTCTAACCTTAAACATATTTCATGATGTGGCTCAGCCTTTGCTTTGCTGACACCCTCGTATTCTATTGTTGCATTTTCATTGGCGAACCCAGACAATGGCTTCCAGTGTCAGAGAGGTACATGGGCCATGCACCTTCAGGCAGTACGGCGTCTGACGAGTTTTTTCCAGTGAAGTTGGCAGGCCCTTTGCAATGCAATGCTGACTGCAGCCAGAATGAATAAAATACGTGCTTGTTCCTTGGGTAGAAAATCAAGTACTTGGCAGCCAAATCAATTTGCCTGACGCATCGACCCTACCTGGAGGTCCAACTCGTGGCACCTCTGCATGACTTCCTCTTTGTCCATAAGGGCATGCTGCAAGTCGTCCATGGTGCGCTTGAGTTGCCGCTCGATCTCCGCGTAGGCCTCGGGCGGGGGCTCGTTGCTGGGGATCTCCTTGGACATCAACTCTTGGATGGCGTTCATCACGGCATGCTGTACTGATTCCTCCATGCCCATTATGACATTGATATACTCTGCAGAAGGGGGAGGACTTTATGTCTCAAGCAAGTGCGAGGATAATCTGCATCACGCCCAGCCCTCCCACCTGTGACCCCCGCTAAAATGTGCGACAAAGACATGACTGTCCATCAAAACCTGGACCCTAACTCCCTTGAGTGATTAACGAGCAACCTGCCTCATCTTTGTATCTCCCAACACCATCTGGTAAACTGCACACATAAAACATCGTCAGTTACTATAGTTCTCATCCTAACAGATTCCATCATGCCCTGATGTTGGAGTTTGACTGGTTGGGGATCGTTAGGGTGAATAACAATCAGGGGCCCAATTTCACAGCAGTGCTTAACGGCCAATTTTGTGCTGACCGAGTCTATTCCGTGGGAACCATTATGTACCTATTGCAGCAAAAGCGTACTTTACCCCAGAGGACAAAGATGCTTAAATCAGTGATGTATAAATAAAAAAAGTCCATGCATGCACGAAAGTTGGCACATATCATGATCAACACCATGAAATGACACTCAAGCGAGAGCCTTGTTTTCTGCTATCCTAAACACTTTTGTACTGAATGTTAAGCAGTGCTACAAAATTGGGTTCAGTGCTGAATTTTTACGAAGAGTGATCCAGTTTACATATTGCCAATAGTTCATTTGATCTGTTGTGCATTACAGCTTGTGTGGCCATGAAATGTATTAAGAAACAACGGGTACGGCAGATCAAAAGCCAAGTATGTCCTAGGAGGCACATTTTGTGTTAAATTGAAATCACACTTTGTTGCTTAGGCTAGAAATCTGCAATACACAACAGCTGTCAATAGAGGGCAGGCAACTACTGAGCAAGGTGTGCTTAAGTGTTAAATTGCTTAGCAGAAAGTGTGAGCCATTGTTGGGGAGGGGAGAACTGACGTGCTACGATAGAGAACTAATGTACATGTAAATAAGGTAAAACAATAAGAGATATTTTAAAACTGCTTTCCATGTCACAGACATCTCAAAGCACTGAACTACTAGAATAATAATTACAACATTTTAAAAATTAATTAAAAGTGTTAAAAGTAAAAGACAAGAGATTTAAACAGCTACAAAAATTTAAAACCACCATTTAAAACAGGTACTGAAGACAGCACAGAGTTCTGACACATGTCCATTCTGCATGTCTGTCAGATTGCCTACCCTCTTTATGTTCACAGTTGACGGCGCAGCCAAGTACGAGCTGTAGCAAGCGACCCAACTCATCAAGATCACGGCGCTCAGCAATTTTAGTGACATCAGGTAGCTTAAAATCACAGATCTGTTGCCCCAGAACCTGTTGGTCGCAGCACATGAAAGGTTACAATTTTTAATTCAAAGAAGATAAAACTGGGTTTCCTGTCTGCCCTTGGCTTCAGACAGCAATATTTCTCAAGCAGTAAAAATAAAACAGAGAAAAACAAATGCTGTGCTTCAAATATAGAGGGTTCCTACACCTGGTTTCATAACAGTTGGTCTGATTTTTGGCAATGGAAAACAAATACAGGTCCTGGAGTGACATAATAAAATGAGAATTTCACCATTAACAAGATTTGTGTCCTTTGATTTCTTAGTGGACACTGCCTTTTACGTTACAAAAAAAGGAAAAGTTTCATGCAGATCTGATTTCAGAAGCATCAAAACAATCTCTATGTGGGTGAAGGACCATATTTTTGAAGAATGTTGATCTTCCATAATGCATTTCACTTTATACATTGTATGCCTACAATATTAAGTAGTTTTTTCATTTCCAAGTCAAGGGCATAGGGTAAAAAACCCTTTTATTCTAGCCATGTGATTTTACCCAAAAGTATGAAGTATGATTATGGAAGAAAAAAATGTGAAAAACTAGAAAACTATGAGTGGGCCTGGGGACAGGCATGAATATTCCCAAGGTGCGCGGAGGCTTTTAGGGCATGCAACCGTGATTAGGCCCAACAAAAATATAGTTCTGCTTCCAGTTATGTGCCTCTTAAAAATAGGGTTTGTCTTGATAAGTTGCAAATGTAGCTACGAAAACCTGAAAACAGGTTGTTAGGAGGTGTTTTGTGAAGACAGAAAAGACAGCAGGATCTATTTTTAAACTTTTTTTTCAAATTTTTTAAAATTTGTTTTTCTAACTTGCCGATAAACATTTCAGGGTTGTGCCAAGAAGTAAGGGTCAGTCGGGAAAGCGGAAGCAAACTTTTTTTTTGGCCAGGTACATTGTAAGACAAAACTCAGGACGACTGATCACACAGGTTTTCCTAGTGTCTCTTATTTTCATATTTTGTTCTTTTGTGAGGTAAATCTGAATTCAATCTCACAAGGTAATGCAACCCCCACAATTGGAGTTGTTTCTGAAAATACCGGAGATGCAAAAGTCTGCAAAGTCAGGCATTTGGTGCGTGGGTAGCTTTGGGGGAGATACATGACAGGATAAAACCAAAGTGACAGATTAGGGGAAGGCGGCCAAAACTCTAGACAACACAACATTCCCAAAATAAACCACCTGGCTTCAATTGAACGCTACAACAAAAAGGCAATCAGGAACCAACCAATGGCAGACTAGATACCCGTGCTTGAGCCAGCTATTTTAAGCACGGAGATATCATCAGTAATCCAATATCCTGTGACTGTAATCCCCTTGAAGCCACCGGACTGTGGAAATATACATATATTTTTCCTTTCAACTTAGGCAACAGGAAGTGTTTCCACTGGGACGAACGACAGGAAGGTCGTGTGCTGAAGTCAATACCAAAATGTTCACCAGCAGTATCATTGCGTCAACGGCATTTTTTGTCTCCTTCTTTACAGTTTTTTACTTTGGGGGTTTCAACACAAGTTTAAATATACTGATTTTGCACGAGATGATTTCAATTTTAGATTCAAGCCACGCAAACTGCAGTGTTACATTTTTTACGTGGCCCTTCAATGTTTTGCCGTGCAAAAAAATTGCACCAGTGTACTGGTAAATGGGCGGGCTTTAATGCTACACAAAACAATGATCCTGGTCTTTTCACATTTTCTCAACAAATGCTTCAAGGCATCTTACATCATTGTAGAAGTCCAGGATACCTTCCAGGACTTTCTTCAGGTTGCTGACCCGTATCCGCCAGTTGTCTCCAACCTCCTTCTTTATACGGCTGTACCAGCCTGTGTTGAAGAAGGTAGGCGCTCTGGGAAAGTAGACCAAAGTACAATAGGTCATTGCACTGTGTCCATACAGATGCAGCATGGTGAAAATACGGTAAGGCTTGATTATCAATTTCACTACATACATGTACAAATAACCTGCAAGTCGCCTAGTCGAACAAGGCACTCAAATATATGTTTGCAACGCTCCGTAGTTGTTTTTTGTTGTAAGCGCCAAAGCAAGAGTGGTGCCCTGTTTAAGTTAGTCATTATCAGACGAGGTTTTGACTATCACACCGACTTGGCCGATGTCATAAATGTACCCCACATCTAAATGTACAATGTACTGGTATGTATATAAATGTTTAGAACATGGCGAAGAGTGGGCTGATTCTGAGGCAGTAGTCAATTTGAATCAATAAGGAAAACTTGAATGTATTTCAGTCTGGAGGTATAGAATGTTCATAAGATCTTGCATTTACTTCAACATGACACATTACTGGATCATGCTTATCCATACAGCTCCCAGCTCTTTCATTAAAAACCACAAGAAAATTTCCGGGACTTTTCGTCCTTAAAAAGGACCTGCCTACTTTCACTTTAAATGGGTCGATGCCTTGAGGAGGTTAACGAGTACATGTACTTGTATAAAGAATGTGTCACTGCTTTCTGGGAAATTCCATCACAGAGGAAGATCTTCAAGATTCAAGACAGACAGTGTCTGAGCATGCCTCACACAGAAAAAGTTTAATACCTAAAATATACACCTGACCAAACTAGCTGACGGAAAGATACTATATGCACATAAGTGGTTATAGTACAAAATAAATGCATGAAAAACATGATGCTACAGAACCGCGACAAAGCCTCAGCAACATCGAGCACTCAACCAATCCAGTCTCCTTGAGGTGTCCCTGTACACCTACACCGAAACAGATATGCCATGCCTACACAAGTCACTGGATAAGAACAAAGTACAGAATGTACGTGGACATATAAACAACAGCCAAGAATGCTTATTTAATATGCCCGTCTGACTTTCACTCGTCCAGCACCACAAGTATGAATAGACCCTTGTGTCCAAACTAAATGTGAACAAAACTATGGATAGCCGTCTTAGCCGGGTCAGCCGAGGAAGCATGTTACAGATAAATGAGAAAAACATACAAAAAACTGCATGAGATTTTGTAACAGCAACTTCATCAGATGCAATGAGTACTGGGACACCCATGTTGGGGGTTTAAGAACTTGTCTGGCAATGGTGTACAAACAAAAGCTGGAGAGGACAAAGAAGATTAATCTTGGTAGGGTGAAAGAAAGCCACTGTCTCTATTCAGTCCCTCGTTAATGCACTTCAGCTTCCAACAAAGGTGTCCCCACTCATTGCATCTGATGCAGTGGTTGTTGCTACCAAAGCTCGTGCATTTTTTTAAAATGATTTTCCCTTTAGTCTATACAGTGCTACATGTACCTCGCGTTTGCTAAACTAAATGTTATGACTGTGGACTTGCACTGAAAGCGAAAGGTACAGACAAGGAACTAAATGCAAAAACTGGGCACAAAATGAATGCAAGGGGAGGAAGCAGTTTTGTTCAGTCATTAGTAAATATACAGATGAAATTTTGTTGAGCAATTAAAAATGCAGGAGTGAGCTCTTTATGGCAATTCTTCAGGTAAATGTGTCACAGCGCTGTAGAGAAGTTTTCAGAAAATTGCTTGAAGCTGGAGAAACTAAGCACGGCAGACGGCATGATATGAGTTCTTTAGCCTGTTTCTAATGGGTAGGAATCTTTGATATTGGACAAAACAGTATCTTACAAATGTGTAAAATATACAGAATGCTCGATTTTGAGTCCTTTTCTGTAAAAAAATGTCAAACATTTGGCCATTTCTCATGAAACTTATGTCAAGCTGTGTGTCGATGAACTCCTATTTCTAAATTCAAAGCACTTGGTCAACACTGCCCTAAAACTTGGGTATGTCTCTACTCCAAAGCATCTCATATTACAAGCATGCACTTATGTTCTTAGAAAAGGATGTTGGGGGAACTTGGGGAAGGACCTAGCTGAACACGCATCAAGGTTGAAGGGAAATGTTGTGACGAGATAGGCCAAGAATGAAAACAATGAACACAAACTTGTCACAAAGTTTGAGGATACTTGCATTTGACGAAGAATCTGGCTGAGTGCCACACCATCTGTAAGCTCAGCCACTGATTCCGGACTGCAGTCCAAATTGAACGTTTGCACCTGCAAAACAAGAGAAATTTTTTAATGCAACAGTTATTTCTGCAACTTTATTGTGGCCATGACGCTTTGTTCTCTCCAATTTGAAGTTTACAGATAGCTGAATGTTGGACATGTTTATGTTTGAATTAAATGAACGGATGTCAGCCAACTCCACCATTTGCCAACTTGACTTCAGACATCTTGATCGTTGAGACAACTTGACCAGTGGGACAACTCAGCCATTTGCTGCATTATCCGCAAAGACAACTTGACTTCAACATTGAGACAATTCGGCTTTGTGATACTGTATATTAAATTCAAATACGAGTGCAGGTCAGAACAGGTGCACGTATTTTAACTACAGAGCTATTTTATTTTTTACATAGCTCTATGATTTCTAACATTCTATGCATTTGGCATTATGTGCCTTGCACGACGTTCCAATGCTGCTCTGACACTGCCCGGGGTGGCATACATGTAGCTTTCACAGGGATGGACGGCACGACTGCATGGCATACTCCCCTCTGGCAATGCCCCACGCGGCCCAACATCAGCCCAATTTCCCGACGCCCACTTGGTTTTTATCTTGGACTATTGGCATGACAATGCACAAAGTTTCGAAAGCATGTAGGCCAAGTATGAAGTCAGTACTAAACAGTCTGAATATGAAGTACCGGTATTTCACACATCTCAACAAACAACTTGGTTGAGCAGACAACTTGTCTCAATAGTCGAGTTGGCCTAAGTCAAGTTAGATGTGGTCACTGATTATGACGGTTCAAAGTCAAAACAGAAGGGGAGGTCATTTCTTGGATTTTGTTCTATTTTATTCCAAGTTTGTAGCAGGATCAGATATTGAAACGTCATTTTTCTTCCCAAGTTTGACAATTCGATCCAATTATTCATGGCCAGTCAGAAACGTTGAAACAAAGACGTAAGGCCACCAGAATATCTCACTGTCACCATATTTTTTTACCCTGCTATGCCATTGGAAAGCTCTTTCTCTCCTACATTCAAAAATACGAAATCTCCATTTTCAACATTCCGACTTCAACTCATTTTGTGGTGACAGGTCACATATCAGGGGATTGTGAATTTGGGGACCCTGGCCAAGTTTTTGTCATTTTAATCTGTGCAAAACATTCTCCCAAAATGAAAGGCAACGCTGTCTGAACTGCCCCGACCCTGTTTTTTTATATTTCCAAATTGTAAGCTGTGAGAAAAAACACGCAGTGGCTGTTGTTACGGCAGCCGTAACGCATCTCCCATTTTCTATCGTTACGGCACTGAACTGTGCAAGCGTGCCAACTTAAGCCTTAAGCGCAGATTTCGGACTTTATTTCCCTTTTAAAAAAATCTTCCAAAGCCTCTGGTGAGAAAAGAAAACAGATTCCTGCTTAGGCCCATACAATTACAAACCAACATAAAAAAGCAATTATGGTATAAAACATGAAATTTGGGCCAAAAAAACCTAAAATGGTCCAAACGCAGATTCAAACTCACACACCAGTGGTTCCAAACCTTCCACCTTCACCACTCGGCCACAAGCATTCAGTGATCATGGTAATTTTTGAAATATATAAACCGTCGTAATGATGAGCTACATCATCGCACTGGCGCAGTTCAGTGCCGTAACAATAGAAAATGGGAGATGTGTTACGGCTGCCGTAACGATAGCCACTTCGAAAAAAAAATCTGTGCACTCTCCACTATGTGTCATGTGTTAAAACACCTCCAGTTTCCCCAAATAATTTCCCTCAAAACTCAAAATCCTGCCCTCTTTTCACAACATCAACCAAATAGTTATTGAGCACGATGTCACAGTCATCTACCTAAGGATATCCAAAAGTTAAGACGTAAATCTCCCTTCTATTATAGGAACAGAGTCCCCAAATTCACAATCCCCACACTGTCGTAAATGTACATGTATCATGTACAGCATAAGGCCTACACAAGTCACAGCCAGTGGGTGGTTAGGAAGTGATGATAAGTGAACTACGTTCACGACGGAAAATTCACTGTGGAGCAAGTCGACAAAATCTCCAGAAATATACTCACCCATGTAAGAAGGCTCTCACAAAGTTCGTGACTCGTCATTTTGATAAAATCACGGCTTATTAAGAACTAAAACAGCGCGAGAAAGTCGCTACTCTTTCCAAGCCTAGACGGTAAACACTCTTGAACTGTGCTTCCTTTCGATGAAACGTACACGTTAATGTGTACATGTACGTGTACATGTACATGTACATGTACATGTCCTTGTGTATATACAGCGCGGACGTGTTCATGTAACATGTACACGTACATGTACATGTACAGTGCATGCACTAGTATCGTAGTAGAGATCAGTGGTACAGTGCCTGCACATAATCCCGGTCGCTGCAATATCGCAACTGGATAAGCGCGGTCGCAGGTTGTATTAAAATATCATGAATATCCAATAGTTATCATTTGCACTAAAAATTTGGCGCTTTACTTTGAAATATGTTTTCTTTCTGTTGGAAGGGTTGGGTGGTGCGGAGCTAGCAGTACCTATAATCATGGAGAAATTTCTCCATGCTATAATGCAGTTGGGGGACTTTCCCCCACGTTGCCCTTTCTTCAAATTTCAGTTTAAACAACTCTCTTTCAAATTAAAAGGGTGGTTGGACAGACACCTCTATAGACCAATGACCTAAGGGGAGCTTTTTGAGTAGCCGGAAAAGATGCACAGCAAATACATGTAAGGGGCGGATCCAGGATTTTCCAGAGGTGGGAGGGCGTAAACTAAAGCAGTAACGGTAAACTGCCCGAATGGCATGGGGGTTCGGAGCCATTTTGTATTCTAGGCGTACTGTGGTGCAATTTCAGGCAGTACGACTCTTTTTCTTCTCCTTTCCTCTTTTTAAAATTTTTTTAAATTCATTTACTCATTCATTTGGTGAAAAACAGGGGTCGTGCGGCCCCCCCCCCATCCGCCCTTGCATGTATCATCTTCTGAAAGGTTTCAATGGCAGGCAAAAAAAATCTCATGTCTTTCTCAGTGTAACAACGCCAGGGCCGGAAAAATTGCAACTGGTGTGTATTTACGAGGCCTGAATTACCAAGGGCATCAACACAACGTACATGTACATGTACACACGTACACGTACATGTACATTACAACATCTGTTTCATGGACTCAGCAATATCCTCCTCCATCTCCTTTTTTGTATACTTATTTGCAAAGAAGTTGGAAGGCGTTAAAATTTGGGTTCGGTCAAGTTTTCAAAATGAAATCTGACTCTAAATGTACATGACAGACATTGCTTTGGACCAATCTATGCTCATCACTGATTCTAAAAATAAGTTTACGCGATGAGCTAGCTCTGGCAGGCAACAACATACATTATTCATTTTTCTCCAACCACCCATGACGTACGTCTAAAAAATTATCATAAGCGAACGTCCCGGTTGTGAAATACAGCATATTGAGGGTAACGCCGGTTGAAATTTCGTTGGTGATCGTGACGCCTGATCGTACAGCCATTGTTTTCCATCGCAAATACCACGATTACCAACGAACTCTCATCACTGCGCCGGCCAGGGCGGCATAAGTGAGTGCGCAACAAAGTCTGCGGCTGGGCTGGCCAGTTAACTTGGGGAAAAACGTTCAGATACTGCTGGTCACCCTTAGTGACGTGGCATGAAAGGCTGGTGATTTGAAGACAATCAAATTAGATCGTAACACTTATCAATGTCGTAACTTACGGTTGATTGTCACGGCAACTAAAATGTGGACCGCGGCAGGACAAAAATTGAAAAGCTATACCTTATTTGGTTTTAATCCTTTTCAGAGGATATTATGCCCCACCCTACCCGTCACCAGAGAAACCATCAATGTACATGTACATTCATCCATTCCTAAAGTGAATCTGATGCCATTCCCGACTTTCACTGTACCCCCCGGCCACCAACTTAAACACTTACACAACCAAACTTTACAGTCACAGGTGTCAATCGTTATCATTCAGTGTCTGATATGTCAATTAAAGTCAAGGTCCTTTCCTTGTCGGAACTGCGATACAAAATCTGCAGAAACGGAAATGTGTCATGTAGTATCGTCCACAAAAACCGGCGTTCACATTGTTCAGGCAAAAACAATGATGAGTGGCCGTGTAACTGGGAACGTTCTGATGTTGTACGCATTCAAGTTGCTTTTCAAGGGGACAATGAGCTACGGCTTACATTTTTGCTCATTTCAAAAGGGGCACAGGCATCTGGTGCAGAACAAGGATAGATCAAGAACCAGTTTCGGGGCGGCGACATTTGGGGGGGGAGACAAAGCCACGGCTACTTTTTGGTGCTTTTTCCAGCTTTCAGGAAGGGGAAGGAAATAAACCCAAAAGAATTTCGTTATTTTCAGCCCCCCCCCAAAAAAATGTGCTCTTTTTTCAGGGGGAGGTCCTTCCCCCATCCTTGATCCACCCTTGGTCGGGAACATATCCTCCCTCAAAGTTTACCACTACCAGACACAGAGAACATACCTTATTTTTTAATTAACAAATGGTTTTCAACTAACAGCATTTTCATTGCATTTCAATTGACAGTTTGCTTCCAAAACTTCAGGTTTAGATAAAATCAAGAAGTGCTCCGGTTTCTGAATGGTAAGGATTTTTGTGCGGGGTGTAAGAAAAGGACAAAAACACATCTCATTGAAAAGCACATGGCACAAATTACCAGTTGTTGACTTCTTTTCATTTTCATCTTATGAACATAGATCTATGAAACCACTACAAATCTTTCCTGAGAATCAAGGAATACAGCACATCATAGACTACGCAGGTTCAAAAAAGGAGACTTTTAAATGCAAGTGTATAATCACCAATGAATTAAAACCGGAGACAAACTTCATCATAATGAGAACGAGCCGTCTGAGCTGGTTTGCCATGATTTAACACTCTATGCTGTGGCAGTTTACCCATTCTTTTGACCCGAGCACATGAAGGTCAAATCCCCCAAACGTGTCAATGTTTTTAATTGCCATCATAAATAAGATGACGTATGCAGGAATATTATCATTCTTCCTAGCCTATACTTTGTTAAAAACCATCCTGTTAGAAGGATGTTGTCTTGCAGAAATAAAAAAGGAAAGTAAAATTTATCATGTTGGAAGGAAAACACCACATCAACAATCTAATGACATCAGTAGTGGTGCTTCCTGGTCAAATGGATTTTACATTATTTTCCACTGGACGCATACAAATTTTAAGTCTGCCTGAATAATTCTAAAAAATGTTTCTGCATTCTTAACCTGCATGTATACATACTTGTCTTCACATGCCTGACATACATACCAATTTCCACAAACATTTAGGCTAAACTTTGTATCAAACTTAAAGCAAAGTATGAAATTTTTAATGTTAATAATATGAAACTTTTCCATCTCATCATTGCAATACTGGAAAAATATTAAATGAGGAATTCAAATTTGGCAACTTTTAGTAATCAGCTTTGCAGCCATTCATAATAAAATTAACTGAAAATCATTCTTGTTACCTAATAGTCCTTATGACTTATACTGTTATAGGATACATGATGATTTATTGAGCTTTCAGAGTTTAAATATCCACACAGACCTAATTCATCCTTGAAATCTTTCAGTGAAAGTCAGTTCACACTTGTCTGACAATGAAAGCAAAACCCTTACACTTTTACCCCTTAAATTTCTAGACACGCGTTCCTGTACGAGTAAAATCCACTCTACAAATATTGTATTGCCTCCATGAATTCACAAAGCTACACTTTCAACTTATTTCACGATAGGCTCACACCAGCGTCCGTCAACACCCATCAACATGACTGAAGCTTAATCATCACATTCAGTTTAATACATGTATTTCAAAATTGCCAAAATACGACGTGAAATGACGAGATGAGTTCAGTGCTAGGAGGCCAATTCAGCTGTGTTTAAAACATTAGCTAACACACTGGATTAATCTGGTAAAATCTGGCCATCGCTCTTAAAGATCAATCACATTGGTATTTCATAATTTCACTTTTTAAGGAATTTAGTTATACTAAAAACAATCTATTATATAAAAGCTAAATAAAGATTGCTACTGACGTCAAAAGAACGAGTTGAAGTCCTTCATATCAGACAAACTCAAAAGTCGTAAGGAGCATCCATGTCACACTACAGCTCTGCAATTAAATGACCGTTTCATCCTTTTTGACTCAACGCACTCGCATGCATGAGTGCTGTGCTTGCTTACACCTAACTGTGAATTAAAAAGAGGTCGGAGAGTGAGAGTGACTTGGAATTGCTTTTACACCGACAATGTTGATCAACACCGGATTGCATGATAAAGTTGAACCATTCCAATTTGAACCGGACTAATTTTAGGCATATAGCCTTGGTCATGTACCGAGAATTACATGAAACTTACTTTACCCATTTTTTCTCTGTTCCTGTGCTATAAAACCCCCCTATTACAGCCATAAGGTCAAGAATACTCAGGGGAAACAAGAGCTGTATTATGACATCATCAAATTGTAAGATTTGTCTGCTGCCTTGATCGCAGCTTTTTTTTGCTCTGAGCATTCTCACAGTGGAACTGAACTCCCAAAAGACGATTTTTTTTATAAATGTGCCAAGAAGCTGCCATGTCACTCTTTGGGTAATGACGACCACTTCACTGTTTAATAAGTCCATAAAAGCAGTGTGACTGATCTTTAATGTGAGGAATTTAACATTGTGAAGAATACTGAGAGGGGCCTGGGAGATATCGATTCTGATATTTTGCAGGGTGAGTCCACTTTGAGACTCCAGCTGGACCAAGAGAGGGCCCAATTTCTCAGCAACGAAGGCTCCTTTGATCAAATTGAACTTCACTGATTCATAAACGAATATGAAATGCACGCATTACAGTCACATGGCTAAAAACAAAATAAACACTCCCAACCACTGTGGCTCTTTTCAAACGAGGTGGACAGCGTCCCGTTTTGTTTGAGTATTCTCTATCGAGATGCCCAACAGTAGAATGAAAAACTCTGTAATACGTAAAAATCTTTGAGGATAAAACTGCCATGTATGGAACACTATGTGTGTGAAATACATGTAGTGGATTTGCCTTGCACCAAAACTTCTGTAAGAAATTGTTGTCATTGCAACTTTTCGGGACTAAGGTCATTCAAATTTTCAGTTCAATTTCTCAAGAGAATCAAGAAATTAATTCTCAGCTGAAACAGTTCCATCATGCAAAGGGGAACAGATCACGTTTTTGTGTGGGGAAAATGTTGGCCAACACTACTATGTCAAACAAGTAGATTTCAGTTTCAAAAAGAAAAAGGGATCAAAGATGGCACATACATGTAGCTTTGCCAGGTTAAAATAATCAACACTCGATCAATCAGTTTTCTTGGATGACCGTCCCCGGGCACGGGCAATGTTGGCCTCCCGTTTGGCTTTTCTCTTTTTCTCCTTCTCCCTCTTGTCAATGTCCTTCATCAAAATGTAGGACAAGATGGCGCTGACGATGAACAGCGGCGTCAGGCAGAGGAACACTGTATAGAGGAACCCGTAGGGGTCCTTGGCCACCCACAGAACGATGTTCTTCTCAAACCAGTACCTCCAGGTTCCGTCATCTTCACCAGGGAAGTCATCAATGCTTTTGGGCCCCATTGGTTCATCGCCACCATCTGCCATGATTGTTTCCAGTTTCCAGGGTCTTTACTGACAAAAAAAGGTATGGAACATTGGATCAGGAATTTACACGTTCCCAAAAAGTCTCTCATAGGTTTTTACTTAACACGCTTATTCATACGTCCAATTTTAGTCCAAAGATGAAAATTTAAAATGCGCCAATAGCTTTATTTCTGTAACATTTCTGCCTTACTTCTATTTGCATTACCTACTCACTCATACCTAAAACGTTTGTGTGTGAAAATACCCATTTCAAATGTTTTCAAATTGAAATGTAGGCTAACCTCAAACCACAGAGAATTCTTGTTTAGCCCAAATATTATGTTGCTCTTTAACTCATTTATACTACATTTTGAATGGTTGACGGTGTGTTGACGTTACTATCATTCATGTGTTGACTGTGATTAGCAATAGTAGGAAAACCCTCAATGACTAGGCCTAACATTAGTCTAGAAGCAATTGCAGAATACCCCGCCACGCGAAAACAACCTCCTAAAAATCCATGGCTACGTAGTCAAGTGGAAGTTGTTCGACTTCCAGGTTATCCTTGCTGCGTCAAGCCTCAAGGTACGTGTTGTGTACAGTATTGCAGTCATTCTTGAAACGAGAAATTGAGAAATTTTTCTGGGGATGGCGGAAGAATCTTCGAAGTCCAATGTGGGTCCCAAGGAGCGGCTGCGCGGATACAAAGTGGGCCTTGTGCGTCCTGCAACACAAAGTGAATGGGGATGGCGGAAGAATTTTCTAAGTCCAATGTTGGTCCCGGGGAGTGGCTATGCAGATTACGGGGATACGAAGTGGGCCTTGTGGATTGGAAGTGTGACGCCATATCCGAGGATCCGCGGCTACGAGATGGGTAAGGTGAGTGGCGGGGTATTCTGCAATTGTACCTTAGTCTACACATGGTCTACACACACACACGCAACACGGGAACGTAGGCTAGGCGCGGCACACAAGTATAAGCACTGCGGGTCACGTGACATAGTCATCATGCGAGGCCAAGGCCTTACTTCCGAGTTCAACATGTTCAAGTCAAAAAATTTTAGGAGCCAAACTGGTAAAAAAAAATCGAAAGTTTACCTCACAGTAGGCTGGAGCTCTGTTTTGGTTGGTTTTCCTTCTCAAATCTACGCACTTGTAGTTGAAGAAACTTCAGCACAATGAATAAAATTATGGACTCCTATACTGGACGCTGCCATATTGTACAAGGATTTGTGGGTAATCTTAATCATTTATTTAGGAATAACCCCTGTGCATAAAAATATCTGTTTTCATAAGTTGTCTAGATTTTTATATTAACAAAAATTTGTTTTTATATAATTTTTCAAAAATATATGTATGTGTTTTAATTCGGAATAATACCTATGCGTTTTAATTATTTCCTATACTTTTTCCTAACTGAAATTATGCTATGGCATTACAATTTACGTAATTGTTCTTCGCGTGCACGTAACGTGTGCGGACGTAACGCACGTTGGTGCGAATTACATCATGTATCGATAGGTTGAAGTAAACGCAGACGTCAGACTGTACCAAGTGGGAATTGTGTCGATTGAATTACCGGTATGTATGTTTCACTTCCTTCATATCCTTTGTAGGTCTATAAATTACAAGAAATGTGAACATGGTGTTCCTTGTGTTAAAACGAAAATTTTACATGGAACTCTGTCCGTTAAACTTCAATTAAAACCAGCACCATCTCACCACCTTCATGACCATGATGTCGATCTTACTTTTATCATTTCCTAAAGTACTGCGGTTCAATGGCACTGTATTTTGTGACTTTTTCAGAAATACTCTTAGAAATAGACGTTTTGTCATAACATCCAGATAAATAACTCACATTAATGCTAATTATGATTTATTTGGAAAGAATAAAAAATTCATGCCTCACTGTAACTTCAAATTTAAAACAAATTCAAAGAATTAAAATCGAAGAAAACAAAAAAGAGAGAGTGATAGGAAGTCAAGCTATTGCCAATAAAAGTGTTTTTTTTCCCTAAAACTGCATCACTAAACCAATGTAATTAATGCAAAAAATAATTCCTCATTCAAGTGGCAGATTTTTCAGAAGTAGGGCAGTACCGATGCCCTCTAAAATGACATTTGCAATGTACGTGCGCCAATTATGGTGACTTAGGTTTTACTACAGCCAATCCGACTCATTTGCAAATGATAGTGTTCCTGCTGCTTCGGTGACATCCAGTGTTCTTCATACTATTATTCCACAAAGGATTTTAGTCAAACATTCAACTACTGATATATTTAAGAACAAATTTTGGTCAAAATACACTAAGTGCGCAAATTATGGTAACTCGTGGATAAAGTCATCGAGTGTCACAAGCAGAGAGGCATGAACACTGACAAAAAATGAACATGCTAAAAGTGAAACGGGGAGTCGGATCTAAGTAATGCTAGGGTGAGAGTTCCATATAACACGGACATCACCAATTTTTCCATGCATTGGTTTATTAAGCCATCAGTTATGACCTGAAAAGTCAAATTCAGCAGGGAAAATACATATGTTCTCACAGTCGGGACGACATCATTGAGTCTTGGTTCTTCTCTCTGATTGGTCAGCTGGTGGCTGTTCCATATTTCACACTTTGGACTCAAACGGATAACAGTAATGTTGTGGTCTATTGGGAAATCTAAATTATTGACTAAACTCTTTACCTTTATGTCAGATATGTCTTAAATTTCACTGGTTATGCACTGTATCTCCAACACTGTGCCAAAAAGGTGTCCGTTATTTTTATCATCTTGCCGCAAAAAATGAGGAAAACATGCATATCCATTTACAAAGTGAATGGAGGTTGCCCCTTTGCCCAGACATGAGTGCAATGAATGGAACAACCTCCGACCAGGTCAATGGAAGGAATATTCTGGGTAAAAACCCACTGAATCAGGTAGGGACTGAAAACCCAATCCACATGTGGACCAAGTGGGATTCGAACCCGGACCGCAGAGGTGGAAGGCGAGGAATGAAACACTACGGCAACCGGTCCATTTTGACATGGTGACTACTGCTTTCAACCACTTGAGGAGACTTGGTTTATGTCAATCATCTTTATGCACTACCAGTTGTTCCTGTTTTTTTGCTGTTATTTCTTCGGCGTCAGAAACCAATGAGACAAACATGGGCGGTGCTAGCTCAACAACAGTTCAGGCGTCAACGCTTGCCACCACCATCATACCGTCCAGTGCCACGTCAGCAGACAACGCCCCCACTGCCCCTCAGATTACCCCAACCACAGCATCAATGCCGAAAGAATGCCCTATGCACTCGGCTGCTAGCACAAAAGCCAACGGGATTGTCGTTACGAACATGGCTAAAAGTGGACAAATTCCAAGCGGGTGCCCCATGCACAAGAAGGATGGGTCGACAGTGATTGCCTCTGGAGGCCAGATTAGTGAGTGTCCGATGGCAGGTGCTTCATCTGCTTTGCTGATGACAGACAGCAGAACTGATGACATAGACCCACAGAATATGGTAAGTGACCATAACATAACTAACAACCAGTGGGCTATAAGTTACTACAACTTGAAGAGGGAGATATTCAGTATTTTAATCCATAGGCTGTTAATAGAATTAGTTGCAGCGTAAGTGTCTCAATTGCTGGAACCAAAATGGTGGCTGATGCATCAGTGCACATGGACAATTAGCACACAATAGCTGCATGCTGTACTGCATAATGAACAGCCATTTTGGTTCCAAAGTCTGCAGTTGACGCTTCTCTCTCTGTATACAGCTCTGTTTGGATCCATTGTACTGTTGCATTGAGGAGAGATTCAAATCAAGCTTGTGTTGATTTTTCTCCTCACAATAATTCACTTCACACAGCACTGGTATATTTCAATCTCCTCTCAGTCTCCGGTAACTTTTCCCTTTGATACTCCATCCAGTCATACACGTTGAATTACAAACCAGCTAAATAGTTGAAGCAACAGCAGAATTAATAATGAAATACCCTTTAGAATAGGCCTAGTGACTGGTGATTTAATCAGGCTTTGTTTAAATGCAAATGAACAGTTTCTGTGGAACTTTGAATTCATAGTGTCCACCTGGTCCCCATAGATGAGACCGCATGTAAAGTATGACATCAAAGTATGACATCATCACTACATCGAACTATTTATCAAATGATGGACCAGATGAGGCCTTAAATGGGGCATGCCATATTCACACCCCCCCCATCAAGCACCTGTACAAACCTAGCTTAGCCTTGCATATATGTCTCCTGATAGGGGTCCAAAAAGTTCCCCCACCTAAAACAACGGCACAATGAAAGTAACCCCCTCTACTTGGTCTCAAGTTCAAATTATCACTGAATTGACATTTCCAGATTGTCTTAAAAATTAGGTCTACAAAGTTTGTTCTTCACCCCCCCCATCCCATCCAACAAGAAAAAAGAGTACAGAGCAATACAGTTTCCAACTGCCGACGCACGTTCATGCACATGTTGTTTTTGCCTGTCTTCTGACAGATGCCACCGCCCAACCAGAGACCAGCACCCGACCAGCCCTTCCCGCTGTCCACCAACCGGCAAGTCTCCAGCATCCCCCGCAGCAGCAAGGAGGGCGAAAATTGGGTGTACCCATCGGAGCAGATGTTCTGGAATGCCATGCTGCGGAAGGGTTGGCGCTGGCAGCCAGAGGACATCTCGCAGGGGGACATGCAGAACATCATCAGGATCCACAATGCCAACAACGAGCAGGCGTGGAAAGAGGTTCTCAAGTGGGAAGCCCTGCACGCCAAGTGAGTGCAAGGCACAGAGCTTTGTAGAGGCTTTGCGCGGTAGCCATCTTGCGGAGTGTTTCTTTTGTTCCACAGGGAAACCTTTGTGCGTGCCTTGTGGAACAAAAGTACTGGCCTGCAAGATGGCAGCCATGCAAACCGTGAATTAAGTTATATACCAAGTTCATGCCCTCATGCCAACATACATTGAAATACTCTTATTACAAGGTCCCCATGACTTTACAAATTACCTTTTTATAACAGGTACCTTGTGCTATCAGTAATGGAAAACAAGGAAATTCAAAGACTTGGGACCTAAAATGTCCTTGTTATAAAAATGACATTGTATTAATAGTGTTCAACTACGTTGTTTTCCGCCACACACACCAATGGAATTTACCAAGTAAATAATCTCAGACACTGAATTTAGGAGGAATCCAGGGCAGTGTGCAGATTTAACGAGTATGATGAATGTGGCGAATAGATCCTATGTATTCATTTTCTTCTTTTGATCATAATAGCCTTTCTTGTTTTTGTACAACTGTTGATTCTTTTACCCTTCCTTTGTTTGCAGAGAGTGTGGCAATCCCAAGTTGCTGAGCTTTGGAGGGAAGTACACCGACTTGTCACCTAGAGCAAAGTACAGAATGTGGCTGGGGTAAGTGAGCTAGAGGAAAAACTGTTCCTCTGTAGAGGCTCAGCCCTTTACAAAAAATTGTAGAAGATTTTGCATAAGACACCAGTGTGTACTTCTTGCAGGATATTTTCTGGTGACCTCAAAATGAGGCCGTAGTCATCCTTTTCTTGGCAGCTACGAACGGCCATTTGACCGTCATGACTGGATCATCGACCGGTGCGGCAAGAAGGTCCGTTACATCATCGACTACTACGACAGCGGCGTGGTGGACGCAGACACCTACAAGTTTGCCCTCTTGGATGTCAGGCCGGCACTGGACTCACCAGGAGCCCTGTGGGACAGAATGAAGGTGGCTTACTGGAGGTGGATGTATGACCGCAAAGATGAGGGAGTTTAAAGGGCATTACGCTTTGTAAAATTGGAAGGTTTAAGTTATTTTGCATGCATTTTGGAGGGATATTTGTTTAAACTTTTTGCTGGACAAATTGGACTTTTAAATAGTTCACTTTCATTCACATTTTTCATGAAATTACCCGAGTTAAAGTCAATGTGGGCTTGAGCCGAACACATGTATTGAATAAACTGTCACTAGGTCCAGGTATGAACTTTGTAAATGCATTCTATATGAAGTGCTCAGTACCCTCATAAGGAAAAGAAACCAAGTCATGCTTTATCTGCGTTTTTATGCTCATTTATTTTCAAGAAGGTCCCTTCACAAAGATTCAATTTTCTTGCAAAATCTTACATATTGTTTGGGCTGTGAAAAAATTCCAAAGTAGCATTCAACTGTATAATGTTACATTGGTCAATGTAATTTTTTAGAAGCTTAAATACACCAGTGGGCAGTTATTCACAAAAACATTGCTCGTAGGTTGAACTTGAGCATACGTGTAAAAACTATATTTCCAGTTTCTAATTGTAATTAAAAAATGTTTGTTTGTGTTTATATATCTGTGTAATACATTTTTTTAATGTTTTTGCCGTGTTCAGCAATGCAATGCACAATACTTCAAATTATTCAAAGTGGATTCTCAAAGATCTCTATTTTCACCAGTCAAAGAAGTTCTGTGTGACAAACAAAACGATATCAGTCCACCAGTAAAAATACAAATGAAAACAAATCCACCCAGTAGATGTTAAAAAGTTGAAAGATGAGGAAACTTGCAAAATATACACATATGCCATTCAAGTAACATTCAAAATCACTTGAAAGTGCAGGTATCGTATACTGTTTGGCGGCTTGGAAAGATGATATTTTGAAATATGTTTCCATGTTACAAAATCCTATACATTTATGTTGAAACATTGACATGAAAAAGTGAGACCAAAAATTAACTGACTTCACAGATCCATTTACCAAAAAGTGTCAAACTTTTTACAAGTACTCCAGTTGTCCACCCTTCCGCAAGAGGAAAATGCCAATCATGACTGTAACTGAACTCTAATCGACCAAAACCAGGGATGAAAACACACTATCATGAGTCTCAGTGTGGTACACGATGCAGGCTCTCTGAATTTCCTTTCACGAGCAAGGATTGGACACCCCTAGCTCTGAATGGAACAGTTGTGACCAATAAACGGCATGAAACATGGACCTTTAACCACAGAAAATAATTCAGTGTGTGCATGCATGAAAAAATATCTTAGACGACAGGACAGCAAATGACTAATTCTACACAGTGTTGAAGCCCATGTCTTAATAAAGTAGCCATTCCATCGACTTGCTCTGCAAAAAATGAGTCACGTTGCCAGAGCCTTTTTTGCGTTAAAGGCATTTGAAAGAATCTCAAGAGTGTTAAAGCAATAGAAATTCTCACCATTTGAACCAAACTGAGTGACACATCCAAAGGAGCTCACATTCCTCAATCTGATACAAAGTAAAACCAAAAAAGTGGCTCCTGTGACACAAGACTCATTTTAGCAGAGCAGGTCACATAGTTTTAACAGCTCCCTGAAGATCCGAACTGTAATCTCAAGAACTTTGAAGTCAAACAATTTTTCTCTGAAGGAAAGACATCTTCTCAAAGGTCCAATATTGAAGAAATATGAAAAAGTGCTACAATATTCTCTCCCCTTTGTAAATAAAGATCGTGATAGCTCTTGATGAAGTTGTCACAATGTCATAAAACATCTGTAAAAAGTATTGCCTTTCGTCTGCCAGTGGCTCAGCGGTGTTACAGTCTGACACCTCAGTAATGCTCATTAGTGTTTTCCAAGATTCCTGACACAATCTGATCATGTTTATCGCACGCTTGGTTATTTGTCTAGCAGAAATCTGACGATCTCAATGCTTGACATCTGTGGTCATGTGTAACTGGAGTTACATGCTAAGGAAGGTGTCCGTGCACCTTGCATGACCTGCACCACACCAAGGAATTCCTCCGTAATTACCCTAAACCTGTGTTGGTGGTGTGGTCCCAGAGGCAGAGCCAAGCCAGGCAGGAGAGGCAGACATGACATTGGCTTGGCATTAGTCAAGTTATGTTGGATATGAAGATGTTGGGGGGGGGGGTAAACTGAAGTGTGCCTTTGTTCCAAGGAACTTCTCCTGAAAAAATTTGCTTGGTAAACCAAAAAAATAAATCTCTCTTCAGCTGTGCGAGTTCACACCATGCATACCGTGGACAAGTGCAAAACTTCAGGCATTTGTATTTCAGTGTAATTTGTCCACCATAAAAGCGAGTGCAGCGGAGATGTCGGACTGCTAGGAATGTCGCTGTGGGCAGCTTGCCTCTGGGGTGAGAATTACAGCTCGTCACTTCTGTTTTTCTTCCCCTTTTTCACTTTCTTCCCACTGATGTTGGTCTCGAGCTTGACGGGCTCCAGCCCGCGGATGCTGGCCAGGTCGTCCATGTACCGGACGTCAAACCTTTGACCTTCGACTTCCATGACCTCCTCCATCCGCAGCACGTCCTCCACTTCGGCCATGTTGGTCCCCGGCAGGGTGTGCCTGTGCTGCATGTTGATGCTGTACAGGAATTTCAGCAGATTGGGATAGTTGAGCTCACCCTGTCGCTTTACAGAATATCCTGAAAGAGGAAAAAAAAATTGCACAGATGTTACACACTTTAATTGCGGAAGTAACAGGTGTCACATTCCAGTCCATCACAAGTCCCCTACACAAGGCCAGCCGTAAGTAACAGGGTGAAAAATGGCGAAAGAATGATTTTGTCACAGCTCATTTGAATGGCTCGTGAATTGGCTTCAGACTGAAGGACTCGTGATGGACTCGAGATGGACTTGTGGTGGACTTACAGGGACGTGTGATGGACTCTGATAAGAGGTTGACCTTACTCTTTCAAAACCCACTGCCATTATTGGAAACACTGCATGCAGACTGTTCACCCCAGGCTCTTGTCCTCTTGATTCATGTTGCTGACAGTGCATGACCTAAACGTGTACATTGACGAGGGTGGCTTTCAGATTGTTTCAAGAGACCAACGCTGTTTGTTGTACAATGGGGTTTAGAGTCTGTATTATTTATTTTGTCCCCCCAAAATAGGAGAGAGTCGTTCTGTTTCTCTTTATCGTGATGGTCTTTGGAAAGGCACTGTGTGTTCTTGTTTTGACGTTATGTAAAGAGTGATTGATCACTGCCATGAGGCAAGAGCGAGATTGGACAACAGAGAGAAATCCATAATTCCTCCAACTGAGGAGTTGTAACAGTTACAACATTGTGATGTGGGGTGTTTTTGTTTGTTAGTTTCTTTCAATAAAATAATGTGCCTTCTCAGAAATGGCTGTGATTGAATCTTACACTTTTTATGGCAGAGAAAGGGTTACCAATTGCTTGAATGAGAAAATATCTACAATCCTGACTTCTGGGAAAACATCTAAATATCATTTGAAATTTAACCCCTGAAAGAAGGTTATACAATATAAATTTAACCATTGTTACATTAACAAGTGTGCCACATATAGTTGAAAGACATTTGGCTGTAAATAACAATTTTTAGGGAGACATTTAAACTTAGACTTTTGAGGGCCTCCCTTGCAGATTTGGAACTAGAACAAAACCTGTTGTTTGTTGGACAGCTTGATTGTTTAGGTCACAGATAAAGATCTGGAAACCCCAGATGGGTTAGATTTTGTCAAAAGAGTTCAGGGGTGTCACAGTTTGTATACAGTTCAGTGTAAATGTCTCCTAAGGTATAGATTGAGGTAGGTATTAATAACCTAACCCCTAGGCCCTTTTTGCTGGGGACCCTCCTCAATCCTCCAGAATCCTCCAATTTGTGGGGTGAAAAAATTGGATTCTCCCTCAATCCTCCAAAATTTGTTGAAAATGTTACTTGGAGGAGTGCCTACTGCCTCAGTTCTTCAAAATCCTTTGGCAATTCTTGTCAGTACGTTGAGGCAGTGTGAATGGCATTCTTGAGCAGTGTGGCTGATTCAAAAGAAATATCAGACTGAATTTATGCATGACTGAGCAAGAACAACACAAGGTCTAACCCACGACCTTTACTCATGGCATCCTTTGCAATCAGCCATGCACTTTTGCCATTCACCCTCAATCCTCCAGCTTCTTCCAAACCCACCCGAAGGATTTTGGAGGATTGAGGAGGGTTAGGGTCAATTGTTAATTTTTCTCTTGTCGTTACCGATGCCCTGGAAGGTGTAATCGGCCTCCTCCCCTTCCTCCATTTTGTCTGAGTCGCTGTACTCGTCAGACACAAGGACAAGAAATCCCGGAATGCCCAGGTCGTACTTCAAACTCTCCAGGTAGGCCGGGTCCGGATCGCGCAACACACCAAAGTTGAAGTACCGCTTGTAGTGCAGGGCGATGGATTTAAAAACTGGAGGCAGTTCTTTCTCTGTGAAGCATAAACAATGCATGCATCCATGCAATATCACTTAAAAAAGTTTACCAGACAGTATGACGAAAATTTCATACGCACTTGGGGGACTGTAAAGCACCATTATTGTGATGAATCCAGCAGTGAGTTCTGCTACCTAAACTTAGTTTCATAAATTTACTGATGGACTCATTTGGTGAATGACCCCTTTTTTCAGTCTTAAACTGCCCCTTTAAGGCATCAATAGTCTCTCACTCACATGTCACTTTTTTTTTTCTCTGTATGTCAAACTCCCCTCTCCGGCAAAGACTGGCCAAAACCTAAATGTCAAGCTGGCCTGGGGAGATGAAAGCATCCACGGACATCCAGGGCAGCAAGGAAACATCAAACGCAGTCCAGGTGTCAAAATTAGCGTGGTTGGCACTCCAGGGAAATACAAAGATAAGAGTGTGTGCAAAGCTCACTTTGTCTCCACTTTGATACAGTGAGTGTTGATTATTTAATGAAGCCATTTGCAACAAAATGAGGTTTTTGCACCCTACAGATTTCAAGGGTCAGGGTTTTTTTCAGCTCCAACAAAATTAGTAGAATATTTGATTGCAATTGTGCGTTATACTGACCGCGTCTTTGGTTTCAAAGATTAATCATGTCATAACCCGTCTAAATAAAGTGAAGTCATTTGCACAAATGATGTGTTTTTCACAAATTTGTATTTGGTGTCCTTTCAGAAATTTTCAAGTCAAGCTTTCCCGAAGTGATTTGTGGCCTTACCTCATTTTGTTTTGTTTTTTTTTTGGCAATATCTCCTTCCTCTCCCACACCCCAGATCCAAGTTTACTGAGCACTTAAAAAAAAACAATGCACCTGTTAAGAAAATTGCTGGGAAGCTTGACGGGTATGTCATGTAGGAATCGTAGATGAAATTTTTAAGAAGCTGAGGGTCAAACTCGGTGGTGACATCTGGTAAGCCACGGAGGGCGAGCTCCTTAGCCTCCTTAGGAGACTGGACATCGGTCCATTTGGTTGTCTTGCTGTCACCGTAGGGGTAGACCCTTGCCGCTGGGTTTTTCTGAACATCAAAATCCTGATCGTGGAAAGAAGAAAACTTGCCATTGATTGGGTTACAGGGCCTTCAGGAAGCATATCCAAGGGTCCTCTATTTTTCATGGGGCATGGATTATGAAACATTGTCCTTTGGACAGGATGTTGTCGCAAGCTGGAAAACAATTTTGTCCTTGTTACACCGTAAAATCAAGTTGTTGAAGTTAAAAGGTGAGGGGGGTCCATACATTTTATCCCTTGAGCAAGTATTAACCGTGCATCACGAAAATGCCATGAAATGAAATGAAAGTTAATTTCATCAAAGCTTTCTCTAACCATCAGTAAAAAGGAGAACAAAACTGACAGACACTTTCATCCCAATATAATGTGAGGCTCTCCATATCTTATATAAAATATATTGAGAAAGCCTCTATTTTACTAGACACGGAGGTGACAACAGATTCATTGAGGTTTTAAGTGATCTAACTGTAATTTATTTTGGTGTAACTTAAATATCTCTCTAATTAATAAATGTATTGGTACCTTTAGACACTAAAGGTGCCCCCCACTAAAAAAAGATCTGAATATCTGAATGGACACTGTTTGTCTCACTAGCTCAGTCAGGGAATGGAAACACTGTGGCAAGAACTATAAATATAGCCCCCAATGGTGCAGCTTAAAAGAAGTCCTGTGCAGGAAAGAAAAAATCGAAATCATTTTAAGAGTTGAAATGGTAACAAAAAGCTCAATTCTTTGATGCTTTGAACACCAAAGGTAGAACCCTCCTTTGGTTTTACAGCACAAATATGCATAAGTGCCCAAGGTCACTCTCTTGCATGTTTGTGCAGTGCACAACACGACACAGCTGTGCTCCTTTGAGGTGTTTACCAAGTGACCTAAAGAGTGACTTCAACATGAGGCAAGTACTATAAATTGCTTCATAATTCTTTTAATGTTTCGAAGTTTTATTGTTTGAAATTAATAAGAAAAATGAAAGAAACATGGAATGCTTCCCCCACGTTTAAGCAGAAGTAGTTTATTACCAAACAATGGTAATGTAACCAGTAGGTTATGTGCCGGTAAATGTAGGTCAACCAATTTCAACAGCGGAGAAAATTTAGGTTGTTTTTATACCTTACATATAGTATTTCAAATCGCGGAGAGGAGCATGGTTCTGACTGACATATGGACCTGTTATGTTTCACAACTGGTAAGAATATTTGTTTGAAAATTCTTCTCTGGGAAGGAAGAACACTCTTGTTCTTACGATTTCATCAAGAAGGTCTTCTTGCTCCAGTCTGTGAACCATACCAAACCAGACGATGCCGCGCAACGACACAGCCAGCGTCTTCCACTCTTTCTTCAGCATGCCGTCGGTGAACAAGATGATCCAGGGGTCATCGGCCTCCAACACCCACTCCTCATAGTTCTCCTCCGTCAGCTCAAAGATGTCTTTGAACTTTTCGTCCTCCGTGAAGCCTTCAGTACCCGCGGTGGCATCGATGTTGATGGTCTTTTTGACCACTCGGTCCGAGTGCTGTGCAACAGTTTGGGGTGTGAACGTCTGCCCAAGCAGGGCCGCGCAGACGACAATGGGGAGAAGCGCACCATTTCGAATATCCGGCACACCCCACAGCGCCTTTTTGAACCGCAACATCTTGTCTGATATTAAGTTACTAATGAACATCCCACAAAATGGTCACCTGCGCATGTTGATGTTTATTCTGGAAGTGCGTAAATCACTTGGCATTCCTGCAGGGAAAAAACATAAAGACGAAAGTCGACCTGATATGCCTCGTATAACCTGGTAGCCGGCTACAAAGTGAATCATCATCAGGGTGGTGGGATATTCTAAAATTGAGCTTGATGTTTACTCCCAGAAGTGTGGTGTCCGACGTCCGTGGGAGCGGGGCGGATGCCGAACCCCACAGTTCTGGGGGTGCCTGACGTTCTGGGTCCTTGGTTTTGTTAGGCCTATTTTGCAACAGGTTCTTTTCTGTTATTTGTAATACATGTATATTAATTTCTTATTCTTGAAAACCTGTAATTTGTATGGAAAGAGTTCTATATAGACGCCAGTAATTATTCCCTACAGTGACCTATTAGCCATCAGAGAGCAAAAACATGTCCAGAAAAGTTCAATGAAGGAGAGAAAATACCGAGTTGTTTACTTAGAAAACACTACAAAATTGTCAGACCAGTCTAATACTAATTTGTGCACGGGGTGTCGAGTGGTTTCCTAGCTCTACTTAAAAGTGGAGCGTTAAAAGTATTCCTTTTTGACGATCCCGTCCAAAATCGAAAAAGAGGAACACTCACGCTCCACTTTGACTTAGTAGTACTACTAGTACTGGTGGCGTCCGCACATGGAACTCCTTCCTGTTTTTTTATTTCTCAATAGACTTACCTTATTCGGGCTGCTGTCACCACGAAGCAATGGGTGCAAAAAGTATACGATTACGAAGTTGCTCTTAAAATTGAAGTAGTTCTAACACTCAATGCCAGACGCCGGCACCTCGTGTCGAATCAGGAAGTGGTTGTGTTTTATTACGGTATGTCCGCGAGTATCTCTAATCGACCTTAGAGTCGAGCGCCCTCTGTCGTCACAAAATGAGAAATTTTTCAGTTGCTACCATCTTTTATGTCTGTGGTTGCAACTCTTAATGCTGTCACGGTGGCGTGAATGCAATTACAAACTTCTGTCTATAAACACTCCCTATTCTTGATGAATAGTTTTTTCATTGGAAAGTAAATCAAGTATAATTATGTCATCGCTTGTGTTTTCCAGGCCATGCTGAGGTAAGAGTGAGCACACACGTTGGCCTCGTGGCGCGCCACGCCCCGTATAGTGCGTCACGACTCACGAGACGAGACTATTTATCCGAGTAAAAGGATAATTTGTGGCAGAAACAATTAAAACATGTGGAAAATAAAATGTTCTTCAGCGGGACACAGCGGGAGAAGCATCTCTCTTACTCATGAAAATTTAAAGTGGGGTCTGATACAGAACCCTCTCCCTCAATCTTAAACCAGGGACCTGGTCTTTCCCCCTTGCAGAAAAAAAAATTATCATATCAGTCACAAACACGTATCTTTTAATGTTACAACCACAAAACCAAATTGTATTGAACTCTGCATTAGTTCCACTATGCATTTTTGCGCTACTGTAAAAGGCCTGTAAGAAAAGGGCGACGCAGATGCTGCCAATTCAAATATGAAAAGTAACAGGTTGGACATCCTGGAATGATTTTGTATTTCGCTGGAAAGCTCATACGTTTCTACAGCTAAAAACATTAAAGCAAATGCTCTTATAAATTGCTTGGCAGGGTGCCGAGCCACAGAATCATAGAGAGTTGACCCTAAAAGACAGTAACTGAGGTCAAATCTGCAACCTCTACATTTCCTGGGATCACCACGTACTTCCTTGCTTTCCTCCACCCAATCTTCATGTATAGGGGTGCAGACCAGTAAGTAAAGTCCCATAGACAACAGTGATAAATACCCCCACTTTAAAAATACCCGAAAAATACTCACAAGTTTCTCAGGTGTTCAAAACACAGGGCAAATTGAAGCTCATCTCCTCATCTTTTCTTTGCCTTTCAATTTTTTTAGTGGCTTATCCGATGACTTTTCAAGATACTTGCGTCCACAAAGCTTCACATTAATTTCTAAAGCATTACATGATTTATTATCCGGACAAAGATTGGGTTGGCATTTTTGTTGGCCTCATCAAATTTGGGAGGTCCTGGACAGGGGCCGTTATTATCAGCCTATGTCAGTATCGTGTTGGCCGTGTTTAGTGCTAAGCCCGTCAGTTCATAATTGTTGGATGACGTTGTTTGTCCGATTTTCGCTCGCCCTTTTCCCCAGCAGATGTTTGGTGAGAATAGCCTATATTCAAGACGATCGCTGCAATAAATGATAAACCTTGCAATGCATGTATGCGGGTTGAGAAAAGACTAGCAGGCAATTTGTTGTCAAGCACCGTTCATACACCACAGTGACGACCTTCAGTAAATTGATCTCTTTCATAAAGTTAAAGAAAAATTATCTACATAGAGTGGAAAAACGGCAAAATTTTAAACTTCCGTCTGTAAGGGCGCGCTGGGAACTGCACATTTCATTCCACCGGCCCCGTGATAATGTAACGTCTCTGAGCCCACATTCAATATTTTTATCAACGATTTGCTATGCCGAAACGCACTTCAATCGCATTCCTTCTGTAGAAAGAAATCATCCTCTACCATCGTCCTAGTCCTCGAGTGGGGTCGAGCGAACATCGATGCAGGTGCTCCATATGTAATTGAAATGTTAAATCCAACAGCAAGCGTAAGAAGACAGCTAAAAGAAATAATTTCACGCATTTTGAAGAAATTACATGTCATTGGCACCATCGGTTAGGTCTGGAAGGCCTTTGACTTTTGCAATCAACAGATATTTTTTTCATGCATAAGAAATAAGAATTAAAGAAAGATGATGAAACTGCAAGGTTTTGACCAGTTTGACTGAATCCAACCAAGATGATGATGTTTATGTACCAAGACCGTCTACGGTTGATGAGGATGATGCAAAAATCAATTTCTGTGTTGGTTCAACAACGGAGTAAGCATTTAATCAATATTGTCTCTTGAGACATCATGGGTCCTCGGCTATGTGACCCCCTTCCGTCTTCGATTGGACAGCACTTAGCGAAAAGTGGCGGTGGCACGTGACACGATGTTTGCTACTTCTCGGTAGTAAAGTGCGGCATATACTGCGCGCGCGCTGTGTGAACGCATCTGTTGAAATGATTGGCGGCATAGTTTTCAAAGCGTGCGGAGATGACAGGGCGCCACTCCAAAATCCGAACCAATCAAGACAACTTTCCAATTCAATGGAAACGGTCTCCAAATCTTGGCAAGAATATGGCTGTCTTCGAATGAATTCCCGGTAAAAAGTATCATTTTAGATACTACATGTACTCATCGGTAAACAGAGTTTAGTGCAACAAAAAATCATTGAAGGCATGGCTTATTTGATATCCCGTAACCAATTTGGATTCACACAAATTATAATGAGTTTTGAATGTCAATGAAGATTTAGCTCTGTAAGACGTGTACACAATTTTCCCCGTTGAAATATATTTCCGTGCCTTGGTACTGAAACACCAATGATGGATCTAGAACAAAAGTAGCAAGGACTGAGGGCAAACGCCGGTTTTCAGGTGGCCAGAAAATTCGGAAATTTCTAACCTGTAACCTGTATTGCCTTCCTGACGTTGGGGCTACATCCAAAAAATTTGCTGTTCTCTCAATTTTTCAAAAAAAATTTCTAGAAGTTCCCCGGGGCATGATCCCCGACCCCCCCCCCCGTGTAAACATTTTTTTAAATATAATCTGGAAATTTAGCACTTGAACTCCATAGTTATTCAAATATTGAACAGATATATCAACATGTATCTGCGCAAGGCGACAAAGGGAGCGTCCACCAACTACCTTTATGTTGCTTCTTAGCATTGTGTTTGTTTGGTGGCCCGAACATATGTTCAAAATATTAGCGGTGATCGATACCAAACATCGACCACATTCGAGACCGATAAGACGGGAGTGGCTCCCCCGGTCCGACTCAAACCTGTTGTTATTTTTACTTCCTCTACGCAACTACGCTCGAAGCAGGAGGGCGCTATTATTCGCCATCTTGTTTTCCGCTGGTAGAGAAACTCGTAGCAAAAAATACTCTGAACTGGCTCTCCCTGTGTCAAAGCTGTTGCCTTTTCTCCTGATTCTTTCGTTCTCTTCTTCTTTCTGACTGCTCAATGGACGGGTACGTAAGGTATTTATCGCCTTTCCTTTTTCTATCATGTTTTATGTGTATGAAATCGTTGGGACACGGCAACGCGCTGTCGTGCGTGCATAGTATGTCGTCAGTGGGTGCATGTGTGGTTATGAATGAGTCACTCTTCATGACATGGTAATGCATGGCGCGTTTGAAGTTTGGATACTGGGTACTTACGTAGCTGTGTTGCTGTTTAAACGCGTTATTGTGTTACATTAGGTATTCTGCGCTTGTCAGTGTCTGCATCTTCACACACACATTTGAATTGCATATATGACTTAGGGAGAAAGCAAGTGTGCAGTAGTGTAAGGCCTATGTTTATAATAAGGTCAATCAAGGCAGTTTTATTTACTCAAATTATTATACAGGATGACAAGTCAAGGATAAGATGTGTGATAAGGATTGTTTTGGTTTGTTATATGCAGATAATCAGTTGTCATGACATGGTAATTGTCATAGAATTTCGTCACTCTGAGACTTTGTTCACACTCTCTTAACTGAAAAATAAATTACAGTTAGAGGACAACCCAAATATATCGGTGTAGTATTTCCATCAACGGTTGCTGCACATGTACATGTGTGTTCTAAAATGGGCAGTTAGTTCCCTTATTTTGTGAGGCTATGTAAATGGCAGCAGCAACACACTTACATTACCTGTTTGTTGGTTTTTTAACTTTCCTTAAATACAAAAATTCAATGTCAAAAACAACCAAACTGTGAAACTTCATTTTATCCAAAAGTGGGATATGACATTCTTGTGAAGAAAAACCAATAGCACTATCAGATATCGAAACTATGACCTCGTGGTACAGAAAATGTTATGTTGCCTAGTATCAGACCATGTAGCCGTTTCAGTGTGCTGTTGCAAATTGCATGTTGTAATAAAAACCCTTGTTTGCCAGAAGGCCTCAAGATATGGCTGTTGGAGCCACTGTGTTCAAAATATCCAAAGAGGTCATTACACATTTCAGTGTTTGTTTGGGATTGGTCATAATATTATAATTGGTTAACCATTAACCACCAATAACCACTGTACATGCTCTGGTGCATCATTGTTAGAAAGTCCGAAAGATTGGTTTTAAATTTTCTTGCAGCTCTCAACATTGTTTACTCACATTGTTTTTACCTCTTGTAGGGCTGAGTCAATTCGAATAATTCACTATTTGAATATTCAACCTTCAATTTGATTGAATATTTGGTCTCACCGACCGGCAGGTTGTTGATGAACAACATAAAATCAGTTGCAATAACACACAACTGTGTATTATGATCAATATAATACCCAGTAGCTTCTCACATCTAGGAGGATCTCCACCATTATTTAGCAAGATTGAAGAGATTAACAAGACTTCTTGCTCTGTTGAAAATTTCTATTCCTTTTAAATTGTTTAATAAATAATTTACTTTTAAATCATCGTACGATTCCTGACGCTTTTCATTTGAATCTGCTTGAAACGAGCCTCCATAGTGCAATTTTTCTCTTTTGAAACAAAAGAAATTTTCCCTTTTCGTAAATTTTGCATTCGAATATTCTAATTCGAAAAATAATATTTTGAATATTTGACAATCAATCAAATATTTGCATATTCGGCACAACCCTAGCCTTTTGGTATTTTCTCTTGATTCATGGACGAATTTGCTGTTATCCAAGTCTGCTTATTGATTTTTTTAACAAGAATATTTTTATATGATGCATGTACGGTATCTTCATGTACTGTACTATTACAAAAAGGTTTCCTGC